AGAAAGAAAGAAAGAAAGAAAGAAAGAAAGAAAGAAAGAAAGAAAGAAAGAAAGAAAGAAAGAAAGAAAGAAAGAAAGAAAGAAAGAAAGAAAGAAAGTTTGCAGTCTTTAATTATAAATGGGGAAATAACCATGTAGATGACCCTTGCACTGAGTCATTGGATTTGTGCAATTTATCTAATGTTGAGCACCTTGTTAGACGTTGACCAAGAGGTGGCAGAATTGCTCCATTGTGTTGCAGATTGTTTAAAGGAAGGAAGACTGCCATGATTCCTTTCAAAAGCATTTGTCAAATGTTTATATACTATGGGAACAATCAGCTTCAAATAATCCTGTCCAAAGATAGTGAACCTCCAGAGTTCATGATGTAAGATGATACATCTGGCTTTACTAGCAAACAACTATTCAAAGATGACAGTTTGTGCATTTTCTGTATATGCACTAAACGTGTAAAATCACTATCATCTGTTGTGGCTCCTTGTCATGCCTCTCCACCAGAATGTAGTGTTCATGTGTTAAAAGTGACTCTGGTTGTAAAGGTTGAATTAAAAATACATACAGGGTGTTTTTATTCCATTTCCTCTTAAATACAAATATGAAGATCATTTTTCTTACCAAATTGAATTGTTCTTAGGTCAGATTCTTATAGGAACTCACCGGCCAGTTTGTTATGTACACCTATTCAAATATCTAATTAGCCAATCATATGGCAGCAACTAAATTCCTTTAGGCATTTAGGTCATCTAGACATGGTCAAGATGACCTGCTAAAGGTTGTGATAGGGGAGCAGCAGTAACTCAAATAACCAACTGTTACAACTAAAGTATGCAGAGGAGCATCTCTGGAGGCACGACATGATGTGCTACGGCAGCAGAACATCAACCGTTTAGGCTGGTGGTATAATTGTGTGGAGGATATTTTCTTGGCACACTTGCTGCTTTAATCACCGTAGTATCAAATGGTCACGATTTAAACTTTGCAGCCCATCTGAGTCTTGCTGTTGACCATATACTTTCCTTTCCTTTCCAGGGCTATATGCCATGTCGTAGAGCTCAAATCATCCCTACCTGTTTTTCTGAACATGGCTGTTCTCAAATGTCCTCCACACTCACCAGATCTCAATCTAATAGAGCATTTTTGGGTTTTAATTTTTGCATCATCATGGATGTGTAACTGACAAATCTGCAGCAGCTGTGGACTAAAATCTCTGAGGAATGTTCTTAGAACTGTGTTGAATCAATAAAAGGAAGAGCTGAAGAATTAAGGCAGTTCTAAAGTCAAAAGATGCTCCAGCTCAGTACTAGCAAAGTGCACCTAATAAAGTGTCCGGTGAGTGTATATGCTAAAGGTACTGAGGCTGAAAGTCATTGCTGTAGACTTAAATACACTCACAATAACCACAGTCCATACACAGATACATGACAGGTGAGCATGCACAGCAACCACTCCACTCCACTATGCACATGCACCGATTCCGACTTTAACTACCACCGTTCCACATGACAGCATGTTTTTCCGTTTAAGCAACTCACCCTCCGGGCTTTACTCTGGTATTTAACAGCCTTCTTAGTGTCTGATACCGCCCTCTCCACATAGTCTACCGAGTGCTCCACATTGTACTCAATGCGGTCTATCATTTCCCCCTAGAAGAAGTTAGTTACAGAGGAGGTGTGGAGGACATGCAGACAAGAAGAATAAAGAGGAAGCCAGATGTGTAGGCAGGAGGAGGAGGAGCGGATACAGATGGAGGCAAGTGACAGGGGAGGAATAACAGATAAATGAGTAGGAGAGAGAAGAAAGAAGGAGAAGAAAAAAGAGAAAAAGAAATAATTATGTCACCCGTCTGTTGGTCTTTTTGAACTTTTTGCATTTTGGGATGTTGTCCTTTCCCTGCTCCACATAATCCTGGGCCTCCATAACACAGTGCTCAATGTTGTTCACGAGGTTGCCCTGCACAAGAATCAGAGATGGAGACACATTAAGGTGTGTGTAAGAAGAAATCTGTAGTACCAGCAATGTTTAGATTTCATAAATATGTTTCAAAGCAACCTGACTAGACTAATGAAAGCTATCATTACATGAATGTCATAGAACACAAAATAACTGTGATATCATATCTCTTATCATTTCCATTGTATTGGTAACAAACCATGATTAAAACAGCATTAATCAACAAGATAGAAAATCATTACTTTTCACATTAGCACTGACCCACAATCACTTGACAAATCAAATGGCTACTAAAGTGACCCAGACTGCTCTCTGTGCATGCACTAAAACAAAGACAATTCAAAGTCCACACAGGTGAAAAGTCACGAGTTAGAGGTAAATTACCTTGCTGTGTTAGAAGGGGAACAACGTTCTGTGTTCTCCAGAGCTTAGAGTCATTGGAGTGGGGGCAGTGTTGTGTAGTGAAGAAGAAAACAGAGGCGAAAACCAAGAGAGTGGGAGACAGAGAGAGCAAAGCTGAGAAGGGTAGATTTAACAATCACATTCCAGTTTAATCTTAAATCATGTGGCACTGAGAGCATAAAGGGTTAGTTAATTGAGCTGTTTAGAGCACACACATACAAACACCCATTTCCACTGAATTATTAGACATTTTCCCGCTAAATGTTATTGCATTGTGCCATCAGTGTAACCAAAATCAGTTTCATGTAACGATTTACTTCAATATTTCACATATTTTCTTATTTTTCATATTTTCAAGTGTTCTCTAACCCAGAATCCATTCTGTACAATTCAGGCCGATTATTTCTGATGAAGGAAATAGTTAATCTCTGTGGGGGTTAAGCCACACAC